ACTTACGGCATAGTAATACCTTGATTAATGCTATTCACGTTTTAGCCGAGCTTATTTTGTCCCAAACGTGTTGGATGGTGTGCCAGTTGTCGTCCATCAACAGCTATTTTTCATATTTACACGGAGGAATTCCCCAAAACTAAAAAGCCCTTGGGAACCGAATACGTACTCAGATTGCATTCAAAATACCCGAAAATAAAACATAGTTTACAAATAAAACTTGTTGGAGATAATCCATTGACGCAGTTAAGGATTGCGACAACCCGATTTGCGGTGTGGTTAGTGTGTCCGTTACTTGTGCCAGAAGGTTATGGATAGCCACAACTGGACAAGGCGCATTGCCTTGAACCTAGTATTATTTTGAGTGCAAAAAAGAAATTACCTGTTTATTTATGCGTATTATATTAAATGCATAAATGATAGGGGTGTAGATATAAGTGTAGAAACAATAATGATGTTCATAAATAATCATTTATTTACCTAAAAAGGCCGTCGAGGTAAACAGAATAAAAAGCGATTGAATCAATTGAATGTCTGTTAAATTGATTCAATCGCTTTAAGTAATTTATGGTCGTGTTTTATAATTGTATTTGTTTTACAAAGTCGAGATTAAGCGCTCTGTTAAGTTCAAGATAGGATATTACGAATTTCCTTCGGCATCCCTCGACCCTCTAGATAGTTCTAAGCGTGGGCGGCCGTAAGTCTCGGTTTGGCCGTGAGTCGTCCGCAACAAGCAACTGTCTGACGAAGATAAATCGTCGGTCAACGACCCGACCGTATCATCGTTAGAATTGTCTGTAGTGAAATTAATACTACCAAAATATCATACCTCTGAGTCGACAGGCCGTTTCCGTATTCGTCATATAGTCGTCTCGAATTTGCTTTATAATATATTGGATTATTTGATAAAAAGTCAGGTGTTCAGCAGTAGGGTTTTAAGACCAGGGGGCCGAATCGAAGCAAGCTCTAAAAGTATACCTTTGTAGGAGTTAGTACAGTTACTTTGTTCTGTACTGAAGTATGACCACCACCGTTAAGCTTCAATTCCTGGAACATAATTATATTGTACATTCTCATCCATATGAAAAGATTATTATAGGTTTTACGACGTCTCCTTTGAATTCCTTACGTCTCGAATATTTCGTAGCAGTCATGGTCATGGAACAGGCCGTCCAGATTAGTCAGATAATGAACTTGTATGTGAGTTCACATATTATGTATTTTGACACTGGTAGCAATAAATTTGATAACGTAATTTTACTGACAGATTGATTAGTGAAGTAAATTACTACAAAATGTAAAAAAATCAATAGCACAAATCGACAAAATTAGTTGCATAAAGCATAATATCATTTATTTTAAATAAGACACGTCTATGTTCTTCTGTTCGAATTCATGACGTTTTATATTTAAAGAAAAACAAGTATAGTTTTTAACAAAAAAAACCAGACTTCAATCAGAAAATTAAAAACATCGCTAATACCTATAACATTCAATGGTGACCCTTGGGATATCTCCTTTCTATAAAAAAAAGAATCATCAAAATCGGTTCATGAACGACGAAGTTATTCGTGAACACACATAAAAAAAATAAGACATATACGGTCGAATTGAGAAACCTCCTCCTTTTTTGAAGTCGGTTAAAAAACAAATATCAAAGCAATCCTACTCTGCATATACTTAGACCCGAAAAATATGTACTTAGACCCACTGCCTGGTATAATTCTGTTTTCACTCATGTCACTTCAAATGTTAGTTAATTAAAATATTCAAGTAGGTATATACTTTCATTCACATTCCAACTATATGTAAGTATATTTGTATGTTTGTATTGCATATTCGGAGATGATTCGTAGCCATTAATATAACTCATGTTGTTAGACGAGATCTGTTGACAGTTGGGCATGTCCAATATCGTAAACTAAGACCGGAGCTGACCTTTATGACGCATTATACGACTGAACGACAATAGACGGTGGTAATGGAATCATGGGTATGCGTCCGACTGCCATAGATCACTGTTGTATGGAATTAGGCATTGTGCAAACATTATCTGATAAGAGTCATTCTTGGTGGGTATTGATTAAGCGTTTACAAATCTGTGTTTAATTTTAATTTAACTTTTCTCAACGAATGAGTGAATTAAGGTTCACTGTAGGAAACGGCAGGGACGGAAAACTTTCACCAAAGTAAGAATACGTCACCGTAAAAGTAATTGGAATGAAAGGAAAAGCTAACGTGCCTTTGGAGGCTTCAAATAACCCTATCCCTCTGAGACCACTCTCTTCCTAATCGAATCGTTTAAAAAAGGGTCCGTTGTTTAGTACTGGGCAACAACCTTGTCGAATGTTTGGTTCCCACTTGTTTTAATATTTGAAATATAATACATAATAAAATTCACGTAGATTTTCGTTTATTCCCTAATTTATAAAGCGAAAGTAACAGTTGCAAGAGCAACATATTTATAAATGTATAGTAACTGTATGCTTGTGTACAAAATACCTACTAAGCTGCTGTACTTTAATTCTGTTTGTTCTTATACAAAATGATGATGTAAGCGTTTTATATTATACGGAAAGCAGACGTGAGAAAAGTGCTGTCGTACTTTCGAGAACGCTAAGTTCTTTTGATGATAGCTGCTTTGCAAAGTTCATGCATTTTCTTTGAAGTAAAATTCTTTAATAATACTTTATTTCATATACGGAGTTTCTTTATGTCTGAGCGAGTGCTGCCTTTTAATCAGTAACTACTGATTAAAAGTTAGCTTTCTATAATACTATCCAATGAAAAAGTAAAATACTACCTATATATTACCCACTTCTGGGTAAAGGACTCCTTTGCTCAGAGGGTATTAGGGCAGTCCACTAGGGCAGTCCACTCCAAATTTATAGACTTTACATGTCTTCGATTTTTTTAATTATTTTGAAAACATGCAAGTTTCGGCAAGATCTATTCCTACAACGCCGAGTACGTATTAGTCAGTACTTAAAATTGCAAATAACAATTTCACTAGCACCGGCACCAGCAATTGAACTCATGTAGCTCGAGTGACTATATCGAATTAAAAGCGAGCGCCCGGATAGTGAACAATCACGGCTCATCCTAGCTGTTCAATACAAGGACGCCTTAACTCCTTAAATTCTACCACAATCAAAAATCTGGAAGAACAATCTCTAAGTTTTACGCATTTATACGTCCTTTATATGGATATCGAACTCATAATCCATATTGACACAGTATTCATCATAGCACTCGCGCTGACCAAGCCATTGATCGGTACAGCTTTATTCGGCCAATTTCCAATAAAAATAATCCAAAATACACACATATTTTAGAACTATCTTGGAACATCGTCAATACGTTAACGAACCAGATCCCCATAACGTTAATGACATGAAAGTGGAACAAGCCTCTTTACGACGCTGACGACCTCGTTTCCCAAGTGAAAATTTGCACAGATAACTTATACCCTATACCCTATAAAAGTAATTCAGCAAGAAAGGTAGTTTTTGGGTTAATAGGAATCCATTATTCTATTTTCTTTAGGTAGGCATTTAAGCGGGAGCATATAAACATATCGGGTTTATTTAGGTAACTTGATAATAAAGCAATATGAAAATATTAAACCCCTAAATCTTGAAAATAAAAATGCAAAAGCACTTAGTAAAGAATTCAGATTACAATCAACTCTTAATTAATTCACAATTCCACTACCGCATTCGGGACGGCCGTCAGCATATTACTGTGCAACATGTGACGTAAATATTTTTGTTTTGTTTCAGATTGACCAAATTTAAGGACTTTGTAATGAAATGGACAGACGGGAAATTTTTTGGGCCATCTATTTGATCATAATCACGGCGGATCTATCTGGATGTGATTGGTTGAATTGTGCTCATATCGCAGAATGTTATTGCAAGTGGTCATCCGGGAAGAAGACGGCCTCATGTGTGTCAGTGGGCTTGACGCTTCTTCCACGATTAGCGTCAGATATTCAAGTTCTTGATTTACATGGGAATCCCTTACAGCAATTGAACTTAGAAGCCTTTGCAAGTATAGATTTGCTAAATTTACAACGTCTGAATCTGAGCTCAACAAAACTGCACACAATACACAAAGATGCATTTAGAGAGTTAAAAATACTGATAGAATTGGACCTTTCACATAACGAACTTCACCACTTGTCACCGGATACATTTAAAGGCATTGATCGTTTAAGATTTCTTATTCTAAACGATAACCCACTAAAGGAGTTTCACGCTCAGCAATTTCCTCCCCTGCGTTATCTGAAGAAATTAGAAATTTCACAATGTCAACTGCAAAAAATTCACCCGTTAGCATTCAGTAATTTGAGAGCATTGGAGACGATAGCTGTGAATCAAAATTTATTATCATATGTACATCCGAATACTTTTAATTCGCCTCTATTGAAAACCTTAACACTTTCGGAGAACCCATGGTACTGTGACTGTAGACTGCGTGATTTCCACGAATGGTTCCTCAGTGCTAATCTCGGCAATGAGGAAGTGTTATGCGTTGGACCAAAGAGTTATGCCCAAATGTCATGGTGGAATATAAGAGGGCATGAAATGGTTTGCCCTCCATCGGCTGTCACTACTCCATTGATTATGCGAGCTGAAGTCGGCGCTAAAATAACTTTTGGCTGCTTTGCAAATGGAGACCCAAAGCCAAAAGTATCGTGGTACTTTCGTCATGAAGAAATACATAACTACACCGATGAAAAAACCGAAATTAGTATTTATCGTTACGCTTTCGAAAAATTTGATGAGTATGATAAAGATTTTATAAATAAGAGCTCATTATGGGTGAATGTAAGCATAAGTAATGTTACAGAAAGATTTTCGGGTGAGTGGAAATGTCTCGCTTACAGTTCTGCCGGTGAGGCAAGTTCATATTTAAATCTGCTTCTACTACAAGCTCGAACTGCTACCGCGCGAGTGGCCCCTGAGTATTCAGTATTTATTGTAGTCATCTTATCCATGTCAGGTTTGACTACCGTTGGACTTATAGCGGCCTGCATCTGTTGGAAAACTCGACGCCGAAGATTATCTCCCAGTAAAAGCTTCACTGAGCAAGAGAAGAAATTGCTGGATTCATCGTTAGCGACCAGCTGTGATAGACAGAGTATTGACGTAGGTTCGTCGTACGGCTTTGAAATGATTGACAGATCGACGTCTTTGGACAGCGGTGACAGTCGGGGTTGTATGGAGACTGTTCATATAACCTTAGAACATACTGGAATATATCCTCCGCCACCAGTGGAGTTCGCGTTACCGGCTGCTTATGGAAATATTTTTATTTCACTGCGTCTGTCTGGCACCGGTGAAGAATATCCAGATTTGCTGGGTGGTGGGGCAACTCTGCCGCGTCGGAGTAAGACGTGCACTTTGAATTCGGCAAATGATAATGTGAGCTCCAGAAACGCAGCCAGTAGTTCAACTTGGTCTTTACCAGAAGACAACGCCACCGATGATAAAACTGACAATAATATATTCTCGCCATTTTCGAGGATGTCGACGGAATTTACTGCACTCTGAATGATTCCATTATTATTGTAAGATATCCTAAATCATTATACGTAATTGTACAAAAAATATTGTGTTGAGCTACAGCATTCACCCCTATTCCATTTACGATAAAAATAAGAAAGTCAATAACTTTGTTAAATAGGGATAGTTAAATATATAGTTAATTATTGTGTATACGAGTATGAAAGAAAAATAGATTTTTGCACTAGAAATTAATTTTTCTACTTTCTACCAGATAGTCTAGAGCGTTTCAGCACTAATTTTATTAAATATTATTAACAATACAGTTGTATTTTATACAATTATCAATGAAATAGTTTAATTACAGCTTTAAAACGGTTTGTTTCTGCATTGAATCTACACGAGCGATGTTTTTTAAGAAAGCCAAAAGATCTACGGATATTTTTTGAAGACATTGAGGTTTATATACGATATACTGTTACAATCACAACTTAGCCATTAAATGCGATTGTAACTAAATTTTGTTATATACAAGCTGACCTTAATTTTTTGTCTTTTTATGATTTTTTTTTATTATTATCTTTATTTTTATGGTTTTTATCTATAAAGATACGCCAACCCCATCGTGACTTATACAGATCGAACAACTTACGAAATACGAATCTTTTTTATTAAATCGTAGAAATTGTTTACTATCTAGTATTACTGCTTATTACAGTTTCATATTGTATATTTGAAATTATTTAATAAATTTTAAGAATGTACCGATAAATTTGTATTAAGCTTGTATTTTCTTCATTTTGATTTTATTAATTATTCTTTAAGAATAAAAATTTACAAAGGCGGCTGCTATCAGCATTATCTCCAGTTAACTTTGGAGTGGTCTAGAGAAGTAAAAGTAGATGCATTATGAAATTAAATAAAATAGCTATTACTTCTGTTAAATATGTCAATGTTATGAACTCTGTGCAATATGTATTGTTAATAAAACAGGGAACAATCAGATGAGGATTTTTTCATTCGTTTTTGAAAATAGATGTTAGACATTTTCGAGAATTAAAACGCATTTTTACTTAAACAGTCTGTGACTGTTATGGAACTTCAAATTCTATTTCCCGTATACTGCGATAGGCCTGTTCACTTTTGGAGTTGATAAGATAAAAAACCCAAAAAATAAAACAATTATTAAGTACGTGTCGCCATTTTTATTATACCTCTTTCTTTTTTGGTTATAGTTATTTGATAGCAGCTGCGTGCTCGATGTTTCGCCTTGTTGCTGAGGCTGTGAACTCGGGGACGTGGCAAAATGCTGGGGCCAAATCATCAGACAGTTATCGGCTTAGTGACAATTATTATCATGGCAGCGACTTTAAACGGGGGGATATGTATTCAGAAGGTGGTAAACAGTATCAAAGCTTCATCAGGTTTCCCATAACTCGTCCAGTATGAATGATGACCTACAAAATATCAGTGTAAAATCTGTAAGTTGGTGGCGCCACGAACCCTTGTACCGCAAAGGTGCCAATTGTACCTAATTTGGTCGGCTCTTGCCACTAGAGACTAGAAACATGTTGAGGTGCACCCCAAAGGCGGGCGAAGAAGGTCATAGGTTCATGTTCCCATGTTCTCGGTCGATGCGACAGTCACAGGTCACAGGTGCAACGGGAATTTTTAGTAAACTCACATACCCCTGCCGCTCTCTCAATACGGTAGCGAGAGGGATTTTTCCCATGTAAAAAAGAGCACCAACCGTACTGGAGCTTAGCGCATACATTCTGGAAAGCATTGAGGCTCTGACATGGAGTAAAGATGAGTTCCGTACACCGTTTCGCAATACTTGAACTGAGAAAATACCAGGGTGTCTATGAGCACACATTAAATTAAACTATTTTGCAGATTCTATCGCGTTTTTAATATTATTTTGTAGCCTTTCCAGCATTTTTGGTCACGGAACTGTGAAAGACGCGACAAAATCCGTAAACTAGTTTCATTTAATATGTATAATATTCGCGTAAAACCAAGAAATCACTATGAGCACTTGTTTGACGGCACATGCTTAAGGTGGCTTCCGATGTTGCATAGTAATTTTAATAATGTAAGTATACTCCGTATATCTCAATTGATCTATCATGAGAAATCAATGGCTTTATAATGCTCGCAATTATCAATATTAATGCGATGCTTGTAATGAAACGATGCGACTTATAAAAAACGCTAATGAGTCAAACCAATAATTTCAAAATACACATCAATGATGTAATGGAAAATTGACACTTAGATATCATCGATCAAACTCGCCGGAAAACGCACACAAAGTCAAAGGAAAACACAACAAATGTGGTTAGATTTAAACTAAAACGCCTTTAAAAGACGGCTAAAAATTGCTGTTGTTTTCTAGACAGCGCTCACTTCGAACATGTTCTAGCCGGAAGCTTACAGGAAACATGTGTACATTTGCTTTTATGTTTCATTTTTCCTCTCTGTGCGACAGAACCATCAGATACTTTCTCAAAGTTAAAAGAACATAGCTAGAAATTTACTTGAACGTATAAAAAACAATTTAGTAATGATATTTGAAACAATTAACCATTGATAAATGTAGGTACGTATGGTTTGCTTATGTTGCAATTATCTCAATAAAGGTATCGCAAATATTATAATGGGAAATAAACAAACCTAATTATAATCTACTTTAAGTCTTTTATCAACACAAATAAAATATGTATTTATGACCACTGATGCAGTTATAACGACTATAGAATTGATATTAATATAATTAATACATCAATGTGTTGTAGAATGTATTAAAATAACATTCTATTTACGGTTTTATATCCACTATTTTTGCTGTCAACATATTTTTTTAACTGCAAATTGGCAATAAAGAATGTATTTGTGCTGACATTTTAAAAATATACAAGTTAAATCTTATTTTTTACATGTAACTTGCTACCTATTAGCAATTAAGCTACGATATAAAATCACTACAAAGAAAATTCCCTTTTCATTTGCATTACAACGGAAACAGCTCACTTAACCCAACGACATTTTTTTTATTAAGTATATTTTATTGTATTGTCTATATTGTATATTTAAGAATATTTGTAATATGTATGTATTTGTATAAAAAAATGTTATTTTTATAAATGTACTAACGAACCGACAGACTTTATCCTGTAAACACGATTTAAATTCGACAACAACTTATAAACAAAAAAATTAAAAAAATAAACATTGTAGTGGATTGAATTGTGATATTTGCAAAACCAACCACCGAGGTGTCAACGGCATCTTGAAGTGATCTAGCCATGAATCTTCGACTAAAAAAGTGCTGTATCGTAAAGTTCGAGTTTGACACGGGAATCTTTAGAGATGTCGCACGTGTGCAGCGTGAAAAGCAAGGAGGCATCTTAATGAATGTACGGAGGTCGCTCGTGTAGAAAGTGCCCTCCACTGGGTAGGCTCTGGCGATGAGTGTGAGCTTTTTTGACACATCGAGTGGGTACAGCATGTAGAGCAAGGCTTATGGCAGATTTTCTAAAACGCCATAAATGAAACTTCGTGATCTCAAACAGGAGCGCACCAGTGCGTATGCTGTAAGGCGTCTATTATTTTATTCAATATATAAAGTATCTGCGGATACTGTTCTTCTATGAAAATATTTTGCATATCCGAACCTTGACTCTAAGCTGCAACACAAGAAAAATGTTTTACTTATAAGTTGGTTTAAGCTCATATCTTCCTATATGAGCCTTTGATATACCCTTTGAGCAAATATTGATGTTTCATATTTTTTTCTTCCTTCTGCCGAAAGATCTTATTTTCTCAAAAAAATCTCTTCACATTCTCTAAAGAAATTTAAGTACCGTTCCATTCCTAGTCACAGAGAGAAATAGTGAAATAATATGAATTGAGCGGCGCAGCGCTTGAGTTACGACCGTTACTCGCTTGATAACTCACGAGTCATCAATTTCTAGATTTTATCTTTTGTTTCAATGAATATACTAATAAAGTACAAGAATAAATGGATTTCAATGAGTATTAGCAGTTATTCTGGTTAGGTAAGTCCAACAGTTCTAGTTAGATCAACTGTGCGTCAAACTCAGATGAGCTGTATTCGGGAAACTCATATTTTCTCTTTCAAGTTCCAATATCAATGTTTTCGCTAAAGCTTTCGCTTTTCTTTAATTAATGTGTGTTGCCAGTGATGACCTAGGGAACTGAGACATAGTCCTTCATTGCTGGAGTATGAGAAACCTCAAAGTCGCTCTGCGAGCTTTTGAGTGGTCTATGCTTGGTATTTCTTTGCGATAGAGTTCGTAATGAAGATATCTGCTATAAAACAAAGGTAGCCGTCGAAGATTAGTAAGCTGATGTGACATTGGTTCATTAAACTCGTAGAACTACTTTTAATTATTTATGCGCACAAAATATGTACAGAGAGGAACAACTAGGTATACAAATAGATTACAAAATGAGACATGTAAGTATGACGTATACCGTTTTCACCGCTGTATAAAAGGTCAAATGCGAAAAAAGCGCGAGCAATGATGATTAGGTAATTTTAGTCGCGTAGCTAATATCCGTTGCGATAAAGAATCGATTTATAATCCATGAATGAAAGAATAATTCCATAGATACATCCGTTATTTAAAGGAATCGGTTTTAAAGTACAAAGAAGCATAATGTACACATTAAGCGATGATTTAATAAGCTCTAACTTATTTAATCATCGCTTTTTAATTTGTAATTAGGTAGAATATCAAACAAATGCATTCGGATGGAATGCAGGATTTGTAGATCCTGTCAGAAAATTAAGGAAAAATTGACAATCGCCATGCAGGTGTTAATTAAAGTAAAAATCAAAATTTCTTTATGCAACATAGGCCTATATTTAAGCCTTTGTTGAACGTCAAAAACTACCACTGGTTAACTAAACTAGACCTGCCAGAGAAGAACCGACAAAAAACTCTGCGGTTATATATATATGTTTAGATTTGACTAATAGTCCTCTAGTGACCGTCTATGATAAATTAAAATAACTT